GTCCACAGGAGAACTGCTTGGCGTGTGGGGACAGCTGCACACGTTTTGGTGGCTGGAGGTGAAGTGCTCTGTGCTGGGCTGAGTGTGTGAAAGTAGGTAAAAACATTTTGGTTTTTCCCTATCTGTTTCCAAAAATGCTAATTAACATATTAAGCTGTAAAAGCCTGGGATTTTTCTCACAGCTGTGGGCCTGACCACTTGAACCACAGGCCAAGTCCCTGAAATTCTTTTTTTTTTTTTTTTTTTTTTTTGAGACGGAGTTTCGCTCTTGTTACCCAGGCTGGAGTGCAATGGCGCGATCTCGGCTCACCGCAACCTCCGCCTCCTGGGTTCAGGCAATTCTCCTGCCTCAGCCTCCCGAGTAGCTGGGATTACAGGCACGCACCACCGTGCCCAGCTAATTTTTTGTATTTTTAGTAGAGATGGGGTTTCACCATCTTGACCAGGATGGTCCCGATCTGCTGACCTCGTGATCCACCCGCCTCGGCCTCCCAAAGTGCTGGGATTACAGGCTTGAGCCACCGCGCCCGGCAAGAAATTCTTTAGGGCTGCCTGTCTTTAACTTAAGAGTGCAGAAACTGTCTGACGAGAGGGAGTTTTGATTGCTCCCCCTTCCCCTCCAGCCATCCCAGCAGGGGCCTGAAGATCAGACCGCCTACCCTCCCCCGCTGCCTGTGAAGTGATCTGGGGATCACTCACAAGGGTTTCCTGAAGGGTTTGTACGCCAGGGACTGGGCTTGTGGATCCCCACATGGGCATGACCCCACCACAGGGATGAGGGAAAATAAACAACCTAGGACGTCCCCTGAGCTTCCTTCATCACTACAGCACAAATAAAACAAAACTGAGACCTTCTCTTCTCCCTTCTCCCCACAGCAATCGGTAACTAAAGCCCCTGCAGACACACTCAGAACCTGGGACCTCCCAGATCACACACACGCAGAAGGTCCCGATATGCACCAGGATGGGCCTGGGCCACGCAGCAGCACTGCCTCCATGGAGACTGCGAGGAGGAGGCTGCTGGCCACCTGGCACAGGCTCATGAGCCTCCGAAGTTGATTTGGTGCAGGGTCTGGGGCCAGCATTGCGCTGATTACTGTGCTCCTCACGGTCACACCCTTTCACTTGTGCTGGGTTACTGGGATCCTAAGGCAATCTGTGATCCCAGTGTGTCTCTCAGAGGCTCACGGAAGGGAAGGGGCCCAGAGACAGCCTGAGCACGGCTCCCCATTTCACTGTCCTCTCCCCTTCTCTCTTATGGGTCCTTCCAGGCATAGATCCCCTTTGCCCTCTCTGAGGCCCAACCTCTCACCTCATCCTCTCCCCCAAAATCCAAACCCCATTTCCTGAATTGTCCTGATAGTGACCTAGGAGAAAAATAAGTGTATCCCATAGTGTCCATCACCTGCCCTTCTTTGCCCATACCTGAGAACAGAGCGGGCTAGGAGGGGAAGGGGACCTCCAGATACCTAGCCCAAGGGGTGGCCTGTGGGGCAGGGACAGGGCGGCTCATGGCAGTGCCGCACGATGGTAAGAGCACCACCCTTGAAGCCAGGCAGCCCTGACTTCAAATTCTGGCTCCAATAATTGGCAGCTAGAGGATCCTGGGAGTCACTTAACTCCCCCCAGAGAGGTCTCTCTGTTGGTGAAACAGGAACAATAAACAGTTTGTTATTAGGATAAAATGGGAATGCAGAAACGTCACTTAGCACAGCACCTGCCATGTAATAAGAGCGCAAAAACGGCTGCTGCTGACATTGGCTTTTGCCTGCCACTAGGAGGCTCCAGTCTTCTGCAACTGAGCCTTCTCTTACCCCTCAGTAGAGTGGGGACAATCCTGGGCCAGGAGTCTCCTCTGCATTTGACCCTTAGCCTTTAAGGTCCTGGGTCCTTGCCTCCCAGGCTGACTCCTGGTGACTGCCCCACACAAGCCAGGCCAGCCCCCAGGCTGTGTTGAACTCTGCAGTCACCATCACATCATGAGCTCCTCATCGTACGGCTCTGCAGAGCTATAACCATTATGGACACCATCAAATGCATGCTGGCTTAACTTGGTTGTCATGGTGATTTGATTGCAATACTTGACTGAATGTGAAGGAAGACCTCAAACCCTCAGAAGATCCAAGGGGCTCACGACCTCATGAGTGAGGTCCTGCCCTTTCCTCCTGCCACAGCACATCCTGACTGATGTCCTGGGGCCCCCTTTGGGGTGGCCATCTAATGGTCAGCCACAGCCTCAGCATTCTCTGCCCAAAGTCCTTAGCCCCTTAGAACAGATACTAAGCCCCAGGACTCTGGCCTTGAGTGGCACTCCCCGGGCATAGAGCCGAGGGAAGCATGCCTTACTCCAGAGGTCTCGGAAAATTCACCGATACAGAACTAACATCCATCACTCCATCCTGCTCTGGGGAAAGAGGGAGCCCTGCAGGGTTTTAGGGACCACCTTAATGTTGGCCCAGGGGACTCAGGAATAGAGCCAGTCAGGGAGCCCTAACCAAGGGGCTTCAAGATATGGCCCTTCAGCTTGGGTGTCTACTCAGCAGGGACCTCACTGCAGAGCGCCAAGTGAGGATACAGGGCACTCAGAATGACTCCCAAACAATGTGGTTCTGTACAACACTCTGTGCCCTGATCTGCCAGGCACTCTAAGGGAATATTTTGTTAACGGTCTTTGAACAGGGTCCTAAAACTCCACTAAGAGATCTTTTCTCTCTCTCTACACACACACACACACACACACACACACAGGCACACACTCTACAGTACACAGGTACACTCACCCTGCCTGAACTCTGATGCAGCCCATGGCTGCTGGGGGCCTGGGCAGCTCAAACAGCAGTCCAGAAACCCCAGTCCCAAGGATTCTACACAAATGCCGTTTCCTCACAGTATTAAGGGAAAGTCCCTCCTTGCCCATGATTGAGGTTCTCCTCCTTGAAAATGAGTGGGTTTTATTCCGTAGTATCCAATGGGCTGTCAGGAGCTTTGGCTTCTCTTTTCAGCAGTGACCCCTGAGCAGAATCCCCAGTGGCTGCGTCTCCCCTCATCGAGGGAGGAAGTGTGGGGGGCGCAGCTGCAGGGAAAGGCAGTACCTCCTCCACAGTGGGGGCATCACCCAGCCTTCTCCTTCAGGGCTCCGCACAGGAGGAGGGAAAAAGACAGAAGGCAAATTGAACAGGGGAGCAGAGCCGGCTGAGGCCCACAGGTCTCTCTGCAGTCACACTCCTCAACACTGTGGCAGGGCCAGCAGGGGACCACAGGAGGGCCTGGAAACAGCTGCCATGGAGGAGGGGGGAGAAATTCCTGGCAGAAGGGGAGGCAACTATGATTCCAAATCATAAATAGCAAGGGATGAAGGAGCCATATATCCCCCTCTCCACCTGACCCTCAGCCAAGCAGAAGCCCAGTGGCCTGAACCTGGCTGCCCTCGCTTGGTTAAGGCAGGTGTGGGGCTGGGGGACTGCAGAGGACTCAGTGTTTGTGTCTCCTGGAGATTCCTATGTTGAATCCTAATCCCCAATGTGAGAGTGTTAGGAGGTGGGGCTTTGGGAGGTAAGCAGGTCATGGGGCACGGCCCTCATAAATGGGATTAGTGCCCTTAGAAAAGAAGCCCCTGAGGGCTGCCTTGCCCCTTGCTCCACCTGGGGACACAGCAAGAAGGCACCATCTGTGAATCAGCCAAACACAGCCCTCTCCAGACCTGAATCTGCTCGTGCCTTGACCTTGGACTTCACAGCCCCCGGAACTGTGAGCAATACATTTCTGTTGTTATAAGCCACCCAGCCTGTATAGGGTTTTTGTTATAGCAGCCCAAGTAGAGAAAGACAGAGGTCCATCCACGTTTTTTGGAGGGTGGTCCTAACTGAGTAGGATTTGTGCAGGAGCTGCCTTACACCAGAGGAACAACGGTGTGGACCTCTGCCCTCAGCAGAAACCACAAGACCTCACGGAGGCTGACATTACCAGACAGCTGGGGAAATGAGAGCTCCTAACCTCTCAGCCTCATGGACCAGGAGCCTGGCAAAGACTGAGGTTGGGTTCAACCTCTGTGCAGGTGCCGGCTGCAGTTCAGGCCTGCAGATGGCCCCACTCGCACCTTGAGTGTACTCGTCTTACCCGGCCTGGCTCAGGACACTGCCCCACTTCCTCTGCTATACCTCAGTGGGTCCAGCTTCCCCAAAATATTTGTTGGAGGGGCTGGAGTGAAGGCTGTGGGATAGCACGGTAAGGCTGGAGGTGAAATCTTTGACATGATCCCAGCACAATCCCTTGACTGGGAATGGAATTGGGGTAAGGCTTCGTACACTTTCCCCAGAGATTTTCACATCCATGATCTCACCTTAGCCTCACAATGGTCCTGTGAAGTGAACCAGACAGATGCTATTTCCCCAACTTTAAAGATAAAGAGGCCTGACCAGTCGCATTGGCTCACACCTGTAATCCCAGCACTTTGGGAGGCCGAGGCAGGTGGATCACAAGGTGAGGAGTTCAAGACCAGTCTGGCCAACATAGTGAAACCAAGTCTCTACTAAAAATACAAAAAATTAGCCAGGCATGGTGGCACACGTCTATAGTCCCAGCTACTTGGGAGGCTGAGGCAGGAGAAGCACTTGAACCTTGGAGGCAAAGGTTGTGGTGAGCCGAGATCACACCACTGCGCTCCAGCCTGGGCAACAGAGTAAGACTTCATCTCAAAAAAAAGAGAACGAGGGCTCGGCAAGGGAAATAGCTCCATGGACATGAAGCAGGTAGTTAGCAATGCACTTTGTTTTCTGGTGGTTTTGCTCAAGTAGCAGACAGGCACCACCCTGGGGAGGTGGGGGTTACTGGCACTTTCTACAGGGTCTCAGGGTTGATGATGCCCACTGGTCTGCTGGTACAGGAGTCTGCCATCTGCTTGACCTCTGATTTTGGGAAGTCTCCTACTGTCCTGATGCTGAGTAAACAGAGGGACTGTGGTGAGGAGGGAGGGAGAGAACATGTGGGTTCTGAGCTCTTACCTGTTCTGGCCCGAGTCCTGCAAGGAGATGGCCGAGTCCCAGTCCACATCCCCCATGGGTCGCTCTAGGATCCAGAGTAGAAGCAGAGATCAGGGCAGAGCCAGAAACGGGGCTCTCAGCTGCCGTTTAGTGAACACTGAGGAGAAGGGTGTCCCCTGAAGCAATTTACTCCCAGGATAAATCCAACACCTTGCCTGAAAATTGGAGGCCGAGTCTGTCATGATGACTGCTGTGGCCACAGCCACACGCTGAGAGGACCATGTGCATTGGCCCAGGGATGGGGTAATGAATGAGCTTGTGAGATTTTTGGGATGAGAAGGCAGGAAGGGAAGGAGGTTGTCCTCTCAGGCATGGACATTTGTACATGCCATTGGTGCTACCGTCTGAGCTCAGCCCAGCTGCTAGAACACCCAGCCTCCTTTTAGGAAGGGGTTCCTGTCTACTTGCCCCACAAGAGGGCCCTCACTAGGGGTGATGGCATGTCACTAGAGGGAAAGGCAAAAAGCCACTCTGGAAAGGAATCCAAGCCAAAAGGAAGACATCATAGTGGCCTCTAACCCCAGGCACACAGGGTGGCCTCCCATTGGTCTGCAGGGTCATGGGGGTCTTCAGCAGACAGGCTGCCTGTGAGGTGGCAAAGAATCTGTATCACCAAGAATAAGAGGCTATCCTGATGATTTTGGTGGCAGGCACCTGTCACGCTCTCTCTCCTTTTCTGTCCCCTTCCTCTGTGGGGCCCCCTCCTCCCCTTTTCCTCCTTCTGGACTCCCTCCTGCTCCCCCCACCACCTGGACCTACACAGTGTGCTTCACCTGGTACAGCTGTGTCCCAGGACGGAGTCCAGGCAGGGGTTCCCGCCTTGTGGGGGCTCTGCCCAGAAACACTGAGCATCTCCTGCAGCAACAGGCGGTTCCTCTCCACCCGGTCAGACAGGGACAAGGCGCTGCTCCCAGCGCCCAGAGCCTGCAGGTCTCCAGCTCTCCAGGGCTCCCCCAGCAGGGCTGTCCTGGGGGCAAAGTCCTCCTCGGAGGTCAGGGATGTGCTGTCCAGATCTCCCTCTGTGACCACGTCATCTGGAAAAGGGTAGGACCTTCCTGTCCTTGGGCTGGGAATGTGGATGATTTTGTTACAAAGACCAGGACCCCCAGGTTGTCCAGGAGTAATTCCATGGATGGGGCTCTGTTGCAAAGAGCTGGGCCCCAGCAGTGGATCTCTCTCATGGTCAGGCAGTGTCCATTCGGCCTCTGGAGGCCACGGGCTCCTCCAGTTGCAGTACTCACGCCCAGGGCCAGGTGGCCTGGGAGGCCTGGGGCCCCCATCCCTGGCGGGTTCCTCCACACTGACACCGCTGTCCAGCTGCCCATCAGGCAGGTTCTGGGTATGAGGAGCCATCACAGCACCTGGCAGGAAAGACCCCTCTGACGGAGTCCTGGCTCCCCCTGCCTTGCCTCGTGTGCATTTGGGTTTCTTGGGGGATGACCACTCGTGGGAAGTGGGGCAGGGACTGACTCCCTGTTTGCCACCTGTCATCTTCTCCTTCAAAGCCCTCACCTTGGATTCCAGCACAGAGGGGCCTTGGAGCTGTGTCCCCCATACCCTGGGAGGCTGGAGGGCCATCAGGCTGGATGTTCTGTTTTCCTGAGGGCAAGGCCAGGGTCTTGGAGGGTGTCCATTATCTGGCTGTGGCTCAGGACCACTCCACTCCATAGCTGAGGTCCTCTCCATGGGCCTGGCTGCTCCACTCCCTGTCTTGGGCCCTCTGGAGGAGAAAACAGACAGAGCTCCTGAGATCCAGCACAGGACTAACCCCCGCAACCTCTCGTGCCCCAGTGTCTTGGTGTTGAGTCCTGTCCAGATGAGAGTAACTTGGAGACAGAGCAGAGGACGCCCTCTAGACCAGTGGTCCCCAACCTTTTTGGCACCAGGGACTGGTTTCATGGAAAACAATTTTTCCGATGGGATAGGGTGGGGTGGAATGGTTTGGGGATGAAACTGTTCCACTTCATACCATGAGGCATTAGATTCTCATAAGGAGCTTGCACCCTAACTCCCTCACATGTGCAGTTCACAACAAAATTCATGCTCCTATGAAAATTGAATGCTGCCACTGATCTGACAGGAGGCAGAGCTCAGGTGGTATTGCTCACCTGCTCACCCGCCACTCACCTCCTGCTGTGTGGCCTGGTTCCTAACAGGCTACGGAGTGCTGTGGTCTGTGGACCACTATTGGTTCAAGGCGTGGGTGTTGGGAATCCCTGCCATAGATGATATGAAAACACTTCTTAAAAATGCAAATCATTGAAGATTACAAATAAGTGATTGCTGAATTTTTTCTTCCAAGTCTGAGCAGTGTTCTAGCTTTTCTATCCTTGGTTTACAGATGGGCAAAATGAAGCTTCAAATGACAACTAATCCTATGCCAAACGTGGACCACAGTGAAAACCAGGGTGATTTCCCAATCCCTGGCCTCTTGCTTTGCTGAAGGGTAGTTTCAGTGGAGGATGCCCACATCTGCTAACTCTGCTAACAGGCAACATGCTCTTTCCTCTCCAAGGGGAGCAAATGAGGATGATGGATATCAGGAAGACACCAAGCAGGATCTGACCCTCCGGTAGAAGGTGATGCACCCAACCTTACCCCTGACCCCTGATGAACAAGCCACAGGACCAGAGCACAGGGTTGTACTCAAAGGGAGACCTTGACCAGTCATGAACACCAATCAGGCATCTGCTGTACGCCAGGCGGGACTGTAAGTGCTTTCAAACTCACTCCCTGCCAAGAATCCTGTTATAACTCTGACAGAATGGCATTATTGACCTGGCACAGTGGCTCACACCTGTAATGCCAGCACTTTGAGATGCCGAGGCAGGTGGATCACTTGAGGTCAGGAGTTCAAGACCAGCCTGGCCAACATGGTGAAACCCCACCATTAAAAATACAAAAAATTAGCTGGGTGTGGTGGCGGGCACCTGTAGTCCCAGCTACTTGGGAGGCAGAGGCAGAAGAATTACTTGAATCTGGGAGGTGGAGGTTACAGTGAGCTGAGATCCCATCACCGCACTCTAGCCTGGGCAACAGAGAGACTCCAACTCAGAACAAAACAAAATGACTTTATTATGCTTCTACAGATGGAGAAATAGGCATGGATTACGACACACAGGTGCTAAGGGGAGGGCCAGTTCGGAATCCAAAGCTTCTCATTCCAAGCCCAGGCCTTTTCCAAAACATGTAGTGATCACTTAACCCCACTCCCCTTATTTCTTATATGAGAATGTTCCATCCCCAGAGGCTGGGTGACTTGCCAGCATTGCAAGTTTATCCCTTCACAAGGTATGAAGGTTAGCAGGGATTTGACTGAGGGTGGTGCATGAATACCTACATGCCACAGAGTCTTAACATTTATTCTACCTTCTGAGAAAAGGCAACTTTAATGTCATATATCTAGATGTGCCCCACTTGAAGTAAGCTTCATGTATAAAAATTATGTATATAAACTACAAATTATGAGTTATCCACTTCATAACACTGATCAAGGAGTCACCATAAAATTCTCTTAAATGGCAAGTCCCTCTGTAGTTGTTTATTAGAATTCAATTTATACACAACCTTTCAGGAATGCACATATTTTATAAAGCAAAATACACATAAAATGCGAAATGTCGCATCAGTTTTAAGCCAGTAAAGTTTAAGGATGATCTTTAGGAAGACAGAAATAATTTGTTCTATGAGTTAATAGAGAATGCAGCAAGTTTCCCTTTGCACCTCCTTCTTCTCCTCTCAAGTTCAATCCAGAAAACAGGGGATTAGAATGTAATATGAGCATTTTCTACTAAGTTAAAAGAACTTTTTGCTTTTGGGAGGCTGAAGCCGGAGGATGGCTTGAGCCCAGTAGGTCGAGGTTGCAGTGAGCCGTGATCGCACCACGGCACTCCAGCCTGGGCGACAGAGCGAGACCCTGGCTCCAAAAAATAAAAGTAAGAATTGTTAATGGGTAAACTCTGGTAACAGCATCCCAGAGACCTTAAAGAATGAGACCCTCCCACTGGGGTCCCATTGGCAGGGGCTTTCGGGAAGATCGGTCAGCTCAGAGCCGCCTGGTTCTGTGGCCCACACACTGTGATGTATTTCCTCTAACTCAGGCCAAACGAAGATGGACGTGAAGGGCGGGCCTCCCCACGACCCTCCAGCTTCAAGCCCTTGGGAGGCCCGCTTCCCAGCGGCCGGGGCGACCCAGGCTCCCCGCTCCGCCGCCCCTCGGGTCCGCCACCCCCACCCGGCAGGCCCGGCGCCGCTTCCTCCATACTCACTGGGGGCTGCCGCCCGCAGGTTTGGCCGCCGCCGCCTCCGTCCCCTCCATCCCTCGGAGAGGCGAGGCCCACTCCAGCCCCTACTCGGTCCCAGGCCCGCTGCTGGATTCGGGGAGGGACTTCCAGCCCCGAATCTAGGCGGGAGGGAGCGTGGCACGCAGGCCTCGCCCCTCGGGGCGCGGCCGACCAGGGGTCCGAGGCTGCGCCGAAGCCGGGCCAGCTCCCAGCTCTGCGGGCAGCCCCCGGGTCCCGGGTGGGTCCGGCCCGCGCAGAGCCCTGCGGGCCGCACTCCCTCCCGGCGGGAGGAGGGGAAGCGGGGTCGGGCGGGGAAGGAAGTGGCATCGGCTGTACGTTCGCGGCTTTGCAGTGGAGGGGAGAACGGCCAAGACCAAGCCCGCGCTTCCCGGGCCGCGCCGGGCAGAGGGAGCGGAGGGCGGAGAGGAGGGGCCGCGGGAGGGGCTGGAGGGTCTGGAGGAGCCGGGCCTGGGCCTCCCACTAGCCGGGAGCCCCGCGGAGCCGCCTCTCCGCGCGGCGGCCCAGGGAGTGAGTGGCACTGGCCGTCAGGGGCGTAGGAGGGAAGCCCCGGGGCGGCCCCGAGCGTGGGGACGACGGGGCGGCCGCCGGCTCGCAGGGCGCTGGCGCCTTCCCCACGGGACAGCGGGCGCGAGAGCGGAGGCCGGGAGCGCGGGCGGGAGCTGGGGACGCACCCCGTTCTCGCCAGCCCAGCGCGCCGCCGGTAACCCTACACCCGGGGCTCGCCTTTCGGGTGGAAGCCGGGGAATGACTTTTGTGCGGACTTTTCCGGAGGAGCCGGCCGCCCTCTCTGTGGGGCCGCCTCCCGCCCGGAGGAGCCGCTTCCTCCGAGGTCAAGGTCGTTGGTTCTCGCTCTCCAGAGGCGCGAGGGAAACGCGGAGGGGACGCAGTCCGCGCCTCCCGCCTTCCACGGTGCCGGCACTGCCCGCCGCCGCCTCGGTGGGGACCGGGTCTCGGGGTCCCGGCGTCTCCCTAGCCTACCTCGCCACTTTCCCCAGCGCGCGGTGGGGGTCGCAGCCAAGGGCATGCCCTGCAGCCGCAGCCGGAACCGACGGCGCCTGCTTTCCCCTTCCACCCGGAGGCGGTGACCGAGCCTCACCTATTTCCAAGCCTGTGTTTCCACAAAAGACGGGAAGCAATAAAAGTGGCCCCAGGAGATTCCGGAAATCTCTACAAAGAGAAAGTGGCCGTTCGCCTTTCCTTCAGCCGACAAGGCTTCACTGTCAAGCATGGGGTTCTCGTGAACCTCCAAATGACAGGACCAGCACAGCAACAGTAAGGGCCGCGCCGTGTGCCTGGGCAGGGAGGAGGGAAGGAAGCTTTCTAGAGGGGCTGCCTCCTGAGGGAGGAGGGGGTTGTGCTGCAAAAGGTGGGCGGGCGGGGGTGGGGGGTGGGGGGGGGAAGCGGGGCGTCTGGCAGGCGACAGGAGAGCGGAGTCTGGGATGCCCTGAGTGGACTGGCCTCTTGCCAATTTGGGAACTTGAGGATTATCCAGGGCAAACCCTCTGTGCCACAGTACAGGCCCAAGGTTATGTCACAGGCGTTCGAACCAGAGCGACTCCATCTTGTGTGAGGGCGAGGAGAATGAGTCTGGGGCTTCCAGTAAGTTAGCTATTCCTAGCTTCTAGATGCTTACGGCTAGGGGAACAAATTAATAACGTTTACTAAACAGACCCAGACTTAGGAGTGTCCTGATATCCTGATATCTTGAGAACAGGCTCATTCCTAATTTTGCTTTTAAGTTAATAATATCAATTATTGCAAAATATAGTGATTAAGAAAATTAATCCTTTATCACAAACCCTTGTAGCAGGAGTAACTGTACTTTCACCACTACTTTTTTTCTTCTTCTTTTTTTTTTTTTTTTTGAGACAGGGTCTCACTCTGTTGCCCAGGCTGGAGTACAGTGGCAAGATCTTGGATCATTGCAACCTCTGCCTCCCGGGTTCAAGTGATTCTCCTGCCTCAGCTCCTGAGAAGCTGGAATTACAGACATGTGCCACCACACCCAGCTAAGTTTTGTATTTGTAGTAGAGATAGGGTTTCACCATGTTGGCCAGCCTGGTCTCAAACTCCTGACCTCGTGATCCGCCCACCTCAGCCTCCCAAAGTGCTGGTATTACAGCGTGAGCCACCATGCCCAGCCCACCACTTTACTTTCTTACTAAACCTGCTTTTGCTTTGCACTGTGGACTTAACTTAAATTTTTTTTTTTTTTTTTTTTTTTTTTCAGACAGATCTTGCTCTGTTGCTCAGGTTGGAGTGCAGTGGGGCAATCAATTCTCCCACCTCAGCCTTCAGAGTAGCGGGGACTACAGACACGCCCCACCAGGCCTGGATAATTTTTGTATTTTTAGTAGAGATGGGGTTTCACCATGTTGGCCAGGCTGGTCTCAAACTTCTGGCCTCAAGTTACCCACCCATCTTGGCCTTCCAAAGTTCTGGGATTACAGGCATGAGCCATTGCACCTGGCCTTGCCCTGAATTCTTTCTTGTGAGAGATTCAACTCTTGGGGTCTGGCCAGAACCCCTCTCCTGTAGCAGTTACACAGGTCTGGTGACAGGTGGTCTCCAGGGTCCGGTTGGCCTCTGCCCTTCCTGAAACTCACCATGTTCCCAGCACAAGAAGTTCCTGGAACAAAGCACTGACTGCTTTTGCTTATTAGTACTGATCGTTTCCCAGAGTGATACCTGCATTGTTTGCAGAGGGCTTACTGGGCACCAGGTGTTGGCTAAGGAGTTTAAATTCGTTATCTCATATTTCAGCCTCAAGAGTGGGCACTTCTTTCTACAGACACTGAGTGTAAGTGAACTCCCCAGGATCCACCGCGGGGTAAGCGGCAGTCTGGGTCTCTTAGAGTCCAGGCCCTTATGCAGATACACTGCACAGTGCTGTCGCCAGCATCTGCCTAACAAGGAAAGATTTGGTTTAAAAAGAAAAAAATCATGAAATGCTGTGATACTGAAATGTGCTGGCACAGTGACTTGGCCCTTCCTGGCTTACTTGTTTCTGCCCTCTAAGTTGAAAACCCCTCAAGACTCCTTCTCCTGCATGTGCAGTGTTAAGTCTGACGGCAGCAGCACTGTCACTATTAGTGGGGAGTCCTATGAGCTGAGATACCCAACATAGCATCTTTTACATCCTTAAAACAACCACGCAAAATAGGTATAGTGTATCTCCACTTTGGTGATAAAGAAATCGAGGTGCAGAGAGGCTAAGCCGCTTACCCAAGGCCACACAGCCAGTGTAGCTATAATCTGAACCCAGCTTTGTCTGGCTCCAGGATTTTCTGATTTGTTTCCTCTTTATAGAGGCCCCTCTGAATTCAGACTCCACGGCTTTTGCTTCCACCCTCCCCCAGAAGTTAATGATCTATAAGGCAAGTTTCTGAAAGTTCCAGCAAAGGCTTAATGTTTAAAGAAAACCTGCCTTCCCCTAATCTTTTGAGATGCAAAAATCTCTTTCAGTTTATTTGGGTTAAAGACTTTGTCTTTTTGTTTTTGTTTGTTTTTTCCAGGGGAGTGGGGTGTCACATCTATACTGAGGCTTTAAAAGCTACCTGTCCTAAAGATAACCATGAGCAAATCCTTAGAATGCTGTTAAATTAGGACATGTACATGTTGGGGGTATTCTTGTTCATCTGGATTCCGGTTGGTGTAGCAGATATTTGTTTAGCTCCTATGATGTGTCAGAGGCTGCAGAGACAATTTAGCACCCAGACCCTACCCTTGAGGAATTTCTGGTCAAGTTGAGTTGGGGAGGGGCAGGCACATAAACTTTCTAAGTACACCCATCCAGGTCAGCATAAGGTAGTGTAGGTTGCTCACAGAAAAGACTACACTGACGGGTGTGTGTTGGGTGAGAAGAGGTACCACAGCTAACTGGGCCTTGGAGAATGAGCAGGAATTCGCCAGACAGAGGGGGAGGGGTGAGAGGGCATTTCAGGTGAAGAGATTAGCATAAATGCAGGCGGAGAGGTGTGAAACTGCCTGGTTTCAGTGTTAGTAAGTGTAAAATTTAACCCAGGAAAGGCAGGGGAAGGATGAGGCTGCAGAGCAGGGGAGGTTGGGTCCCAGTGAGCAGCTCAGACTCCACCCTGTGACTGGCAGCACCTCGGTGTGGTCTTGACCCCGCCTTAGCCCTTGAGTCTGGCACACTTCTGGGCTGAAGAACAACCTTGTTTATTTCCTTATGCATCAGACACTTTCATTATCATCTTCTGAAGGGAGGTCTAGGAGGAAAACAAATAAAATGTAAACTGATCACAAAGCCCCTTCCTCTGCTGACAACTAGGGAAATGGACCATTCCAAGGAGCCCCTTTGACTTACTCTGGGTGAAAACACAAGGTTCACCCCTCCTCCCAACTTTCCATCATGCTCTGAACGTTGGAAATATGGAGTCATATGGGCTGTGGAAACCAGGTTTCACTCAGGATGAAGGGAAAAGTGACAGAGATGGTCCTTCCAGCTCACACCATTAGAGCCAAGTGGGACAGGAGTGGGGTGGGGGGACCTTTCTGCCATCCCTTGAAGGTCCAGCCTCAAGGAGCTTGTCCAAATGAAAACTTGCATTTCCTGGAGTCCTGGTGACTCCTTCTTTCTCACAGGAACGTGGTCCAAGGAAGCAACTGATTCCCAGACGTAGGTCTGCTTTCATCTCTTTCTCCAGCACAGGAGCAAGGGCGTGTGTGGGGTCTACCACGAGCTGCTTCCTCCCTCCCCAAACCCTCCTGAGGCTCCCCCGTACTCCCCACCATGCTGCTGGGAAGGATGATTCTGAGGCCCCACCTGTGCAGATTCTGATTCTTTTGGTTGGATCAAAGCCCAGGAACCTGTTTCCTTCCAAATTTCCCAGGTGATGTTGAGGACTGGTCAGTTTGGGGAAGCACAGGTCCTCAAGTTAAAACTCAAAAGCCTTTTCATGGCACATGGGTCCCTCCAGCCTCATCTCTCGTCCCAACCCCCGAGAGCCTGCCCTGCTTCCTCACTATATTGAGTTGCTTCTAATTCCCTGGCTGGTGACACTGTCCTGTCTTCTTGTCTTTGCCCAGGCGGTCCTTCAGCCTGAAATACCTGCTTCACTCCACATGCACATATCCTGCTGTGGACTGAACTGT